GGGGGGGGGGATTAAAGAAACTCATACAAGTACTTGAGTTTATATTTGACTTTATGTTGCAAATAAGTGTTGCTTTTTTGTGTGTTTGTTTGTTTTTTAACTCAGCATGTATCTTTCCTGAATAATGGTGAGGTTAAATAAAGTAAGAGAATTATAATATATAGAAATAAAAACTTATTGATATTTTTAAAAAAATGATTGCTAATAAAAACTGAACTACTTTCAGGACGTGATAATGATTTGCTAGTGCATTTGTTTCCTAACATTTCTAAGACATATAAAAGGCTTGCTATTAAGATCTGGTACTTGAAAGTAAATTATCCAGTGTAAGTTTTATCATCTATGTTAAAAATCAGTTAAGCCCGGCCGGGTGTGGCTCAGCGGTTGAGCATCGACCTAGGGTCCAGGCGATCGGGGTTCGATTCCCGGTCAGGGCACATGCCCAGGTTGCGGGCTCGATCAATGACTCTCTCATCATTGATGTTTCTATCTCTCTCTCCCTCTCCTTTCCTCTCTCTGAAATCAATAAAGATATATTTTTTTAAAAAATCAGTTAAATTTTTTAAGAATCTAGTAATTTAAAAGAATAACTTTTCTTAGATACAAGGTTATTCAGAGCTTAATGTAATAGCTACTTTAAAGCGACGTAGAATAAAGCATGCCACTGATGACAATTAGGAATCAGCAAGACTCAAGAGCTTTTATGCCATTTTGCATTTTATGTGTTTACAAAGCTGCAACAACCTATTGGCATTTAATTCCATATTTACTGTCTCTGGTGTCTCATTGCACAGCAGGACATGGAATGAGCAATAAACATGTTATCATAAGTATTGCACTGAATGAAAATTTAATTAAATCACAACTTCTTAAAAAATGTCTATTTTGTGTCACCCTTGGGTTTGACATCATCAACTCGGATATTCATTGTATCAATTTATCCACATTGTATTACAAAAACATGCTGAAATAATTTGGTGAATATTAAAATTTCAGGAGAATGAAAGATTCATTTTTTAATCTATTAGTGCACAAGAGAGTTGTTTGATCTTGCTTACTTGAAAAATTATACAGATATATAATATTATATGCTAATTGACTGACCTACTTCTAAGCAAGCACACTAAAGCTAGATAACAAGAATATCAAAGAAATAGTATAAATGCTTTATTTAAATATTCTATACATGTATTTTTCTTGTTCTTTGAATATTCATTCTGATTATCAGTCCAAATATATACAGTAAAAGCAAATTAAAAGTTAATATGAAAGAGTCATGATTGTGTAGAGAAATCCCTGATGCTTGTTACTGTACTGAAGTGACAATTCCTTCTTTTAGGTAAGTTAGCACTTAAAAAACACATTGTCAAGCATCATGAAATGAATATAGCAAGTTTACTTCAGCATTGTCCAAACTAAGTTAAATTGATTGTTAATCAACAGCATATAATCTACATCAAAATAGATATTTCTGTGAGAATTAAATGTATACAACTGTAAAGTTTAGTATTATGGGATTTGCTAATTAACCCATGCATTCAAAAAATATTGTGTGTGCTATTGTGTTTATATTTGAGAAATTCTAGAAGTGAACTAGACCTAAATAAGGAATACTAAATTTGAAAATGTGCATTGAAAAAAATGTGCCAATACTGTTTTACATACATTATTTAAAAACAAAGTTTTATGATAACTTCACAATTAAACCAATAATCCTCCTAAAATTCAAATTTTTGAATATAGGAGTCTTTAACACCTCAAAATAACAACTGCAATGAAAACATTTAATATGAATTATTTAACATGCATTATATTATTAAATTTCCATAATAATAATGAAATATATATTATTTTAAAAAAATAATAGCTGAGCCTGACCAGGGTGGCTCAGTGGTTGAGAATTGACCTATGATCCAAGAGACTGTGGTTTGATTCCCTTCCTCTCTCTGAAGTCAATAAAGACATATTAAAAAAAAACTAATAATAATAGCTGAGACTTGGAAAGATTAGATAATTTGCTTAAACTTGGAAATTTTAGAAGTAGCAAATCTAAGATTTAAGTATGTAGCTAACATTCAAGTTCAACACAGATCTGTATAAAATTAAAGTATATTTCTCAACCACTGTACATCAATTGATACAAAATTGTGTGTAAGTACTGAGTACATAAATTAACTATTTTCAATATAAACATATTAGTGCAGCTTATATTTTCCTGGTAGCTGTCAGGATCTTCTATTTTATGTTCTATAGTATTTTTGAAACCTGGACCAGTTATGCTGAGACTGGCTCTCTATTTTTTAAAACAAAAACATGATAAAGGACAGTATTTAATATTATATTTAAAAATGTGATTTAGTATAATATTCTCCTTTTGAAGAATTTCAGCTTGCTAATATGGCATGTTTTGGTATAATGTTCATGGTTTTACTTTAAACTTTCACTTTTTTAAATTCTGAGAAACAATAGTTCATTCTGATAACATATTAGCATGAGTGTTTAAATAAGCTGAAATACAATTAATTTCTATGGAGACATAGAAATGTCAAAGGAAAACTCAATTAAAGATTGCTTTTATGCTGTTCCTCTATTTCTTCTTTAAAATGTGAATATGTTCATAGTACTTTGTAATTTTATCTCCCATTTATTGCACTTTATACTTATCCTATTTTTTAAGGACTGTAACCCCTACTAAAAGCATCTATCACATTGAGCACAATGCATAATGTTAAAATTGCCATTATTTTTTTAAAGGATCAAAGACTTGACATGTCATGTTGGAAAATTGTTGAAAACAAATGTTGCCCCCCCCATCCTGTTTTTCTATACTACACATGCATAATTCCTTTAAAAATTCTTCATATGACCTCATTATTTTCATCACTAGAAACTTGATTTTCATTTAGGAAATAACCCTGTGCAAATGAACTTAGAGTTGAAAATAATATTTCAAATCAAGTGTACAGAGGCAGAATGTAGTAAGGCACTCAATCTTTCTGGCTATTTTATTTAGGTTTGTTATTGTTTCTTTTTCCTTTTTTTCTGGCTATTTTATTTCTATCAATAATACATTACTTAGTGTTTTTAGCAACCATATCACACTAATGATTCATATTAACCTTGAAATCCATTTAAAACCCTTTGATAATTTTTACATACACTCCTGGTAAGTCATCTCTCCACTCTTATTTGTGTTGTCAGTTATTTCTGAAACAGGTTTTTCAAATACTGCTTAAATCAATTCAATTTTTCTTCAAGGTTCAGATGGTCATTTTAGAAGATCCATAGTTAATTAATTTTTAATCAGTGTCAGACACCTTCCAACTACACAGGCAACTTCCAAAATATAAAGCATGGAGAAACACAAAACAGCAGCAGCATTACCATTGACTCCTTGACACAGGTTGAAAAGTTTTCTGCATAATCTCTTTCTCCGTGTTGAGGTAACACATCTCTGTGCTTTTGGATTATCTTCTACTATTTTTCCTGTTATTCACAGTCATGATTAAGGTAAATGTTCTCATCAATAAAATCCTGCAATACTTGCCTTTTACTTATTTTTGCCTTATATAGCATATTGCGCCTAGCCCATTTTTTTGTAAATTATACATTAATCACCTAGAAATGTCTCTGTTGTTGACATAAGAAACTCCCTAACCTGTAAAGAATTTTTATAAAAGTTTATTTGAGCCAAATTGATGGCATATGGTGGGGAGAAAGATCTCTAATGCTCCAGAGAATAACAGTTTTGCAGTTTCTTGTATGGGTTTGAAACTAAGGAGGGAACCTTAAGGAAGATCACAGAAGGTGGGAGAAAGCAAGGAAGGTGGGATTGGATCACAGGATACTTAGCATTACTTGTTCTCTTGAGGGTGGTTCCAGTTTTAGAAGGAGGGGTCTGAAAAGAGGCATTTCAAAAGTGTGTTAATCAGGATGCACAAAACAATGTATAGGGCTTGCTTAAGGCAAAGTTTAGCTTTTTACTGAAAAGTTATATGCCTGGGGCATGACTATTCACAGTCACCTCCCCAGTTAGGAATTGATGATCAGATCACCCTGTGAGATTACTTTCCACAGAACCCATTTTTTTTTATTTTTTGGTCCATGCTGTGTTCTCCAATTTTTATTTAAGCAGACTTCACTCATTCACCTAAAGTGAAATACCTCTTTTGCCTGAATTCTCAGTTTTCTTGCTCCATCTGCAATTTTCTGCTATTATAAGCGAAAAACAGGGCATTTCCTCATTCTCAAGTGCTACTTTCTCACCACTTTTCTAACACTTTATTCAACAATTTGTCCGCAGTTTAAATTTATATAATTTCTTATCATTTATAAATTTCTAAGAGACACTGCTCCAATATTTCTTCAAGAATTTTCATTTTCAATAAAAATTGCTCATGACCCTGATTTCTCTCTTACAGAGTTTCTTATGACTATTTTATAAAATTGAAGATAGTTGGAAGTCTTAAAGCAACCTTGGACACAGTAATTACTCAACTGTTTTTGACTTGAGGATGTACCCCAATCTCTGATTGAGCCTCTCCCTCCATTTATTCTTCTGCTGCTCCCTTATTTTCATCATTATTTTGTTCTCTAATCTGATCAATATTTTC